TTACATCATTGCCTTTTCTCTTTTACTTTCCTTTTTAGTTTTATTTTAGGATTCCCTATTTTTAATATTCATACAGAGATTTCTTTAACTGAAATACCAAATAGTTTCTTTGGTGTGAAAAACTATAATAGTACACAGGATCCTAATGAGACAATTAATAATGTGAAATAGGAAGTAAAGGGCTAAAGGTGTAGGGAAAGTGGGAAGGGTGGGGGAAAGGTAATAAGGGAGAGAAAAAAATATGAGAAATTGAAAAAATGGAAATAAAGTGTTTGTAAATGGGGAGGGGAGGAGGGGTGAAGGGAGGGCAGGGACAAGGGGAAAAAATGGGAATCAAGACCTATTATGTAAAGGTACAGAACCCCAACGATGAATGTAACTGTATTGTATACCTAGATTGTACCAATAAACTCAATAAAAAGAAAAAAGAAAAAAAAAAAAGAAATCAATCAGTAACAAATGCTGGTGGGGCTTTGGGAAGAAAGGAGCCCTGCTCCACTGTTGGTGGGAGTGTAGACCGGTGCAACCACTGTGTAAATCAGTGTGGAGATTCCTCCCAGAACTAAAATTAGAGGTTCCATTTGACCCAGCTGTACCTCTTCTACATGTCTCCCTGAAGGAATTAAAAGCAACCTACCACAACATAGGCACACCCATATTTATAGCAGCACGGTTTGTAATAGCTAGATCTTGGAAACAGCCAAGATGCCCAGCAACCGATGAATGGATAAAGAAAATATGGTACTCATACACCGTGGAGTACTACTCTGCCATAAAAAGGGACAAACTTGAGTGCTCTGTAGGAAAACGAATGCGCTTGAAGACCATGCTCTTAAGTGAAATAAATCGGACACACAAGTTTACACAATACATTGTCACTCTGGCGTGAGAAACCCAAAGACGAATAAGAAGCAAAATGGAGGACAGACATCAGGAAGTAGGATGAACATGTTCAAACTCAAAGGGGAACGAGGAAGGGGGTGGGGAGAGGGAAGGAAGGGAAAAGAGATTAAAAAAGAGAATGGAAGGTGAAAAGTGGAAACAGAGCCTTCATAAGCAGGGAGAGGAGAAGGGCTGAAGGAGAGGAGGGGCTGGGGAAAAGAGGATGAAGACATTATGTGCAGGTACAACTTCCCTGTGAGGAATGTGATCTTTATGCGTGGCAAATAAGCACAAATAAATATTAAATAAAAGACCCTTCCCCAAAAGCATGCCCAGCAGCAGGTAGTGTGGTCCCTGTGGGAGGGTGGGAAGGTGGAGGCTGGTTGCCCCTCCTTTTGAGTTTGTCAGAGCGGGATTCAGCTCCTGAAGCCCTGGACTCCACAATCCGACTGTTTGCGTCACCGCCAGCAGGGGGCGCGCTCTCAATTGAGGGAAGGCCTGGTCCCTCTGCCACAGGCTTTCACCTGATGAAGCCAGGCCCACCCAGTATCGCTTTCCTTTTTGATGAAATAAAAATCAGCTGATTGGGAACCCTAACCTAACTCCATCCGCAAAAGCTCTTTTCTTTCATCATAGAAGATAAGTTAATTATACACAAGTCCCTGTGTACTTGAGGGAGGGGGTTAAACAGGGCATGTACACCAGGGGCCAGGGGATCTTGGAATTATAATTTTGTTTCTTTTTTCTTTTGGGGGTGGCGGGTACAAGGGATTGAACTCGGGTTTTGCAAGGCAGGCTACCGAACTGCTGAGCTAAATCCCCGGCCCTAGAATTTTGTTTCTCATATGCAGCTAGCAAGTGGCAACTCCAGAACCCAAATACAATTAAAAAAATTTTTTTTCCTTTCTTTCTTGCATTACTGGGAATTGAACCCAGAGCCTCCACATTGAGCTACATTCTTAGCCCTTTCTTTATTTTGTATTTTGAGGCAGGGTCTTATTAAGTCACTAAATTGATCAGGCTGGGCTCAAACTTGGGACCCTCCTGGTTCAACCTCCTAGAGTGCTGGGAGTACAGGCATTTACCACACCCCCCGGCTGATCTTTTCTTTAGTTTTTTGGTACTGGGGATCAAACTCAGGACCTTGTGCTTGTGAGGCAGGGATGGTGCCACTGAGCTAAATCCCCAGCTATCTTTCTTTTTTTTTGAGATAGTTTTTTTTTTTTTTTTTTTTTTGGTACCAGGGATTGAACCCAGGTCCTTGTGCTTGTGAGGTAGGCAGCAGGCACCACTGAGGTAAATCCCCGGCCGAGATAGTATTTTACTATGTTGTCTAAGTTATCCTGGAACTCCTTGAGAGGTGTAAGCAACCCTCTCGCCTCAGCCTCCTGAGTAGCTCAGACACCACCATTCCTTGATGGAGTCCTTTTTACTCTGAGGTCTGTGCCTTTAATCCAGATGAAGCAAAGTACACAATTACTAAGAAATTTTTGGGCAGAGTAGTATACAACCATAATCCCAGCACTCAGGAGGCTGAGGCAGGAGGGTCACCTGGAGTCCAATCCAAACCATACAGAAACAAAACATAAAATCAAAATAAAATAAAAAGACCCTTATCCCTTCTAAGAAAGACACAGAGCCAGCAAATGATGCTGCATCTTTTTTTTTTTTTAAATTTTGCCTTCTTAAAGCAAGAGCTGAGCAGGTGGGGGAAGGGGTCTGGGAATTAAAAGGCCCAGCGGCTTGGGCAGAGACAGGGGAGGCCAGGTGAGGGGGTGGGCGGTGTCCCTCTGTTCCTGGCTGGGAGCAGCTGCGAAGCCCGCACTAACTTCATAAAATATAAAACAGGTGAGGGGGAAGGTCGGAGGGAGATTTGTAAAATACAATATCTTAGGGGGTCGGCAATAATAAAAAATAAGGTTCATTATTTACAAACAATTTCTGCTCTTGGTCTGTACAGTGGGGGCGCAGGGGCAGTGGTCCTGTGGTCATTCGGAGGAGGGGACAGTGGCGGTGAGTGGCCTCGCTGAGGAGGGGGGCCG